TGTGTTTTGCTTAAAATAAAAGATTACTCCAAAGGAAGGCATTTGAGGAAGACTGCTTGCAGAGAGGGATTTGTTTGGGCTGGCTGTGCTGGTTTGTCAGCTGGACAACAACCTGCTCAACTCCCATTTTTCCACCACTCTCAGTTGCCTTTGCCCCAAKAATTTTCATGCAAAATCTCTCCTGGAGCTCACTGATCGATTCTGACAATTCCTCGTCAACTGGATCAAACACTTCCCAGAAATTTCACTGCTTAAAATTCCCCAAATGGTTGGAAAACCAAAAKCTGAGTGTGTAGTGGGCAGCTCACTTGTATTATTTCTAATTTCTGCTGTGCCTTATCTGRGACTTTATTTCTTTTGCCAAGGCCCGAAATGAATTTTTATTTCAGAATATTGCTGTTTTCATCTATCCTTTGCAGTTTTCTACTGGAGAGCCCCTCCATTCCCTGGCTGTGTTGCATCCCTGTTTTTTTCCTGTGAGCAGCTGGTAAAGCTGAATTTTGCTGTCATTGGTGGGGATCCTTTTTATTAAACAAAAGGGAAAAAAAGGAGCAAGGGATGGGAGGAGAGGAAATGTCCACCCAGAATTGATGTTCCTGAAGGTAAAGGGCTCGTAGAAGTCATCAGTGATGATCAAATTCTTCTTAATAAGAAAAAAAAAATGTGCTGTCAGTAGAGAAGGTGCTGGATATTACAAAAATGTTTCTAAAACCATTGGAATAAGTGGAGCCTTGGCAATTTTTCTGCTGCCAAGCTGCTCTGTGGGCTGAGCTGTCTGTACACATCTGGGACTGTCCCAGCTCCCAATTCCCAAATTGTTGGAGCTACACCAATGATCTGAGTGCTGACATTCCCTGAGGAGATGGGAATGAGTGGAGAATCCTCCTTTTTGTGGATGAATCCTCCTTTTTGTGGATGAATCTTCTTTTTTGTGGATGAATCTTCCTTTTTGTGGATGTGTTTGGCAGGAATGGCTGCCCAGAAAGTGAGGCACCATCAGCCACAGAGGGACTCAGCTGAGGGGGCTGAAGAAGCTCAGCACCTCCACAGTTGATTTTTTGTCTTTATYCTGCTCTTTTAAGATTTAAACTCTTTTTRTTCTCCCCAGGRAGGTCCCTGCTGCTGTCCCAGGATGATCCCAGCTTCCCCAGTGACTGCTGAGCTCCAGGACATGAACCACGATKTTTTACTGCCTGTAAGAAAAGCATTTGAGAGCTTCATGTCCCACAAACTCCAGTGACTGTGGCTTTTCAAAGATACCACACTCTTGATAATGATTGTCCGTGACTTATTCAGAATTTAATCTCCACATCAGCACRATCAGCAAAATGTAAAACTTTTCTGCCTTTCTTTCTCTCTCATAAATTCCTCCTCACCACCCCCAATYTGCAAACTCATCCATCAAGGCCTCTTTACGTGCTGGGAACGAGGGAGGGGAAGGGTGGTGCCATCATAAAGGTAATTTCACCCGATGAAAACCAATATCTTTTTGTGAGGCAATAAAAAGGAAGGGCATGGGGGAGTTTAGATAGCTCAGTGTGGATTATGGGGGCAACAAAACCCATTAAAACGGTGTTTGGGTTTCTTTTATCTCAAACTGTATTTTAGTGCTGGATGTCTAAATCATTTCAGGTGATATTAATAGGTAAAAGACAATAAAATAACCCAAATTGATTACCATCTTCCAGCCTTTATGATATGACTTTAAATGCCAATTGCATTCCACTGCAAGAAGGGAAATAATGTCCCAAAGGCATTGCAATTAATTGCTGTAGTTAATTACACTCATAATTTTACTTGTGTGACTAATTATAATCAGATTTTAGCGGTGTGTATGGATTTATTTCTGATACTAAAAGCCCCAAACAGCAGGTTATTTTTGGGAAATGCATTTAAACCTCATAACGAAATCTGCATGTTCCCATTCTCAGCAGCTGCCTTGAAGGAGTTGTGTCTGCTCAGGAGGAATTTGGAGGAGAATAGGACAAAAAATGTCCTGGCTGGGGTCACTGTGGCCCTGCTGTGCCTCCAGCTGGAGTTTCACTGCCTTTTCCAAAAGTTCACATCATTTACCAGTAAATCCTACATTTCCTTTCTTTAAAAAACCCAACTTACATGTGATTTTCTCCCACACAAAGCATTTCCCACAGCCACCTCAGTGACCAGGTCACTTGTTTCTCTGCCACTGAAGAGTCCATAAATCCCATCTCACTTCAGTGCTCTGTGGGGGAAAATCACCAAGTCCACTTTTAACTCCATCAAAAAGAGCCTCCCATCTCCAAGAGTAACCTTTTTTTTCATAGAATCATTTCTAGAATAATTGAACCATTTAGGTGGRAAAAGATCTTTAAGGTTCTCAGAGTTAATGTTATCCCTGGTGTTTATTAAACTCAGCACTTACTAAACTCTAAAACCAGCCTGGGTAGTTAGAGAGGCTTCTCTGTACCCTTGTTTTGGGGATTTTTTTTTTGACCCCAGGTGGATGGATATTGGATATAAATTGATATTTTCCACGGATTTGCTGTGTGACATCAAAAGCTGGTGCTGGCGAGCTCTGTTTCCCCTGTTTAAATTCACATCTGGATGGGCAAAGAAAAAAAAGGACAAAGGAAAAAAGCTTTACCCTTCTCTCTCAACAGTCACAAAAAGCCAATTTTGTCCAGACAKTGCATTTTGAGCTGGTGTTTGGTCACAGGAGGAGCTGACTGTAAGCAGAGTTGCCAAATTCATCAGAAATCTTCGTGGGTAATGTAAATACATTTCTCGTGAGTAATGCTTTGGTTTCCTTGTCTCTTCGTGCTTCCTGAGAAAAATGTTTTGCTGAAAACACATTGTATTGGGGATTTTTTTGGTGCCTCTCCCTGCTGTCACCCCCTGGTGCCCTGATGAGTGGGAGGGAGCAGTGCCTTCACTTCTCACACCTCTGGAGCCCAAATCTGGGAAAGGACTTTGGGATGGGTTGTACAAACCCCTGTTTGGTTTTTTTTTTTTTGTTTGTTTGTTTGTTTTTTTTTTTTTTTTTTTTTTTTTTTTTTTTTTTTTTTTTTTTTTTTGGGTTTTTTTGGTTTTTTTTTTGTTTTAACCCCAATTCTTAGAGCTCTGGAGGATTTAAACTGCTGGTGTTATTTCATTTTCCAGCCCCACAGTCATCAACATGTGTGAAATGGATCAGAGCAGTTCTGGGCTAACTCTTTGGGACATGGGAAAATAATGTTCCTGCTGGATCCTTCGGAACGCTCCCGTTCCTCCCCCCACCCTTTCCTGTATCATGCCTTGGCTGTTTGTCCTTCAGCAGGGACTGTCATTTCCTGGTGTCTTTACAATATAAGAAATCCATGCCAAGCGTAGCCGAGACAAAATTCCTGAAAATCAGCACCTTAAGTTACCTGTGGAACAGCAAATTGCTTTTCCATAACCATCCTCACYGAGCAAATCAGATGTTCCACTTGGAGCCTTTCCTGCTTTTTCCATGGAATAGCAATTTGGGGGGATTTTTCTTTATTCCCTGCATAGATTCTGGTCCTGTCCTTGTCACGTTCTGGCCCAGAGCAGAATTTGGGTGGAAAGAGGGGCCTCTGATAAAGGACAGACTGAACCCAGTCCCTGTCACAGGAGTGGAGGGAGCATTTGTTTTTTCTTTATTGCCACAACACTGAGTCTGTACAAACACTGATCCTTGGTCAGTAAGATTTTACCCAAAAATAAAAGCAGTGATTCTTGTGCATTGAGATTTTACCCAAAAATAAAAGCAGTGATCCTTATGCAGTGAGATTTCATTCAAAAATAAAACAGTGATCCTTGTGCAATGAGATTTTACTCAAAAACAAAAACAGTGATCCTTGTGCTGTGAGATTTTATTAAAAATAAAAACAGTGATCCTTGTGCTGTGATATTTTATTAAAAAATAAAACAGTGATCCTTGTGCAGTGAGATTTCATTCAAAATAAAAACAGTGATCCTTGTGCAGTGAGATTTTATTCAAAAATAAAAGCAGTGTGATCCTTGTGCAATGGGATTTTACTCAAAAATAAAAACAGTGATCCTTGTGCAGTGGGATTTTACTCAAAAATAAAAACAGTGATCCTTGTGCTGTGATATTTTATTAAAAAATAAAACAGTGATCCTTGTGAAGTGAGATTTTACCCAAAAATAAAAACAGTGATCCTTGTGCTGTGAGATTTTATTAAAAATAAAAGCAGTGATCCTTGTGCAGTGAGATTCTACCCAAAAATAAAGAGTGATCCTTGTGCTGTGAGATTTTATTAAAAATAAAAGCAGTGATCCTTGTGCTGTGAGATTTTATCCAAAAATAAAAGCAGTGATCCTTGTGCAGTGAGGTTTCATTCAAAATAAAAAAAGTAATCCTTGTACAGTGAGGTTTTATTTCCACTGGGGCTGATGCAGAAGAGCTCTTAGAGAAGTCTTTCTCTCTTTCCAGCAGAATTTTTTCTTCGTCTTAGTTCTGCTTTAATCTGTTTTATGGTGAATAAAGTGCTCCCACCTTGCAATTTATGGYTGTGCCCTGTGATTTCTGATTTATCATTGGCAAGAAATGACAGCTGATCCTCCAGGGTTTGTTCCAATCCTCCTTTAGAGAGGAGCCTATGAAATGAGAATTCAGGGAATAATCTGAAGGGAAGAGGGATGGTGGCTCTTGCACACCTTGAGGAGTGCCAAGAGCATTTCTCAGATATCCTGAGGAGTTCCCTGTGCTGGATTTGGGGTTGGGCTCCAGCTCTGCCCACCTGGGCGAGGTTCCAGGCTCAAGAATTTGCTCCCTGCTGGTGTGAAACATCCCCAGAACGCTGCTGACATTACAAACAGCCCAGGGCACTGCAAATCCCTGCCCCTTGCCCCAAAAACTCAAACCCAACCCTAAATATTGTGAAGAAAACAGGGCGGGAAAAAAAAATCACGCTCCTCTCATGACAGAGTGTTTGTGGATTCCCCTTCAGCAAGGACGAAAGAAATAAAAACTCAGAACAATTCAAATACAGGTCTGTTGTTCACCTTTAATATTTCAGTTCTCTTTGCTCCTCAAAGTTTTTCAGTTACATAAAAATGCAGTTAAAATATTAATCTTTCCTTTAGACTTAAATAGGTTCATTTGCTTTCCCACATTTTTTTAAAAGCTTTTGTGATTGATTAATATGAAAATAATTCCCCCCTCTTTGGTGAGTTCTGGTTGCTCTCATAGCAAGGATTTTCCTGAAAATGTATAAAGTCATCTCTGCAAACTTTGCCCTGAAATAAAAAAAAAATACAAATCTGCTAATAGGAAATCTATATTTCGGTGTGGCCAAAATCTAAAAGCCTAAAAGAAGCTGTAACATGTTATATGGCACTAACCAAAGAAAAATGTCCCTCTTCAGAGGGAGAACTGGGATAATATAAGGAAACCCTATTTCCCAATATATTTTCCATAAGTGATTGGGTAAGATCTGAAGGAATTGGTTCAACTCACAATCTCCTTGGAAAAACTATGAATTCTGACCATATGTGAATATTTTATAGGCTACTATAAAAAATTATATATATATATATATATATATAAGAAATATATATTTTTATATATATAGGAAAGAGCCATTTCTTGACCTGTCCTATTTTATTAGGCAAATAACAAGTAGAAAGGATCACCAGAGTGTCCTGCTTCAGAAGCAACCCTCCAAAGAGAGGGAATTTCCACAGATGTGCCTCTGGTCCTTCCCAGCACATCACACCGCCCATGGCATCCCATGAAAAATGAATAAATAGCACAGGGAGCTGCCAGCCCCTCCAGGAGATCGGGGGAAAGGGATCCAGTGTCCTGATTTGAATTAATTGGGATATTCTGAAGAAAATAGGAAGGATTTGTGTGTTGGGTGAAGGCCCTTCCCTGTAGGGAATGAACCAAGTGCTGCTCAGTTGTGTGTGAGCATTTTATTTCTGCTCTGTGTGGTACCTTCAGGTGGGACAATGTGGGATTAAAGGAATTTCTCCACATTTCACTGCCAGATTTGGCAGTGTTGGATGTAAACACGCTCCAAACYGTCCCCTCCACAGGCACTTAGGAACAGATTCCTCTCCAAAGTTCCCTCTGCGGCTCCTCAAGGCTCATCCAGAGCTGGGTGAAAACCAAAGCATAACCCAGCCTAACGCTTTCTCTAATTTTTTTGGTTTTTAAAACTGACTTTTCGTGGCTTTGTCTCACAATTCCTTTGAGTTCTGGCGGTTTGGGCTTCACCAGAGCAGCACAGCAATCCTTGGTTGATGACTGGAGGAGGASAATTATTCAGCATCGAGACACAACCCGTGAGAGGCTGAGGCAAAGAATTGATATCAGCAACAACAACAAGGCAACAAAAAAGGACCAGAATGTTGTCGAGGTGAGGATTCAGAGGCACAGAGCGCTGAGGGTGAAGGCCAGCAGCAGSAGCGGTGCTGAGGGAATGGCGATCCCGGCCCCCGACCACAGCACCGTGCGGCCCCTCAGGGGCTGAACCGGCCGAAAATTCTCCCTCATGGCACTTGAATTCTTCCCGTCGAAGTGCAGGGCTGCGAACTGCGAAAGCTGCAAAAAAAAAAAAAAAAAAAAAAAAAAAAAAAA